TAAAAACAGCAACTAACCTGAACCATGTCTTTCACCAAAGCAGCAACAGCTTCTGGATTTTTCTTGCTGTAAACTTTATCTAACGTTAGATCGTGCATTGCAAGGAGATCTGTTGGCAACAATATTACTCCACGAGCCATAAGAGGTAAAGACGATCTGAACTATTTTACCTAGCAAAAGGGATCACGACATGGTTTTTACAAATTCAAACTAAACTTACCTAATGAGGTTCGCAACACCATATGCGGCACCTAACTCATTTGCTGCTTCAATCACATCTTTAGGAGGTTCTCTAACAGCACATTCTCTAGCTAACGATTCAGCTTCTAAACAAACAAGTGCGCCTGTTGTGGATTTTCCATAAGCTGCCACCTAAAAATAATGACTAAGATACAACAATCTAGCGACATTACTATGCTAATTTCATTTGAAGTTTTCCAGTAAGAACCGTTAGCCAGATGAAAGGTTGTGCTTATAAAAAAATGGTTGTTGAGAAGAGATGATTTTGCAAAGTTGTTTCATGATCTCGTAACATTAACAGGTTTTTGCTTTAATTTGCTTCAAAATCTCCCGCTAAACCATTAATGCTAAGAATGTACACTGTTCTGAGCCCCTGCCCTAGCTCCACAATAACGATTTCCTGCCCGTCTAAAGCGAGAGGCATGCTAGAGAACAGAACGACTATCACCATTACCTTTTTCACTACTAATATGACGATTACTACACCTTCAATGTGTAGGAAAAGCAATTTATGCGAAGGCTACACTAAGCCTTTGGTACATTTTAACATCATATATTCTCTAGTATTCTCCAAGGCACAGTAACTATCGGCTAGGAGAGTGACTCAGCGATTCCAGTAAAGCAGCATAAACACGATACACATCTCAGCTAATAGCCTAGGCAACATCCTACACAAACAAATGGAGATAGAAGTCTATGGAAACAGCAAATCATATTAGGCAACTTTTGCAACAATCTTGATTAAGCGTTCAAGATCATACAAGCACGGACCCATATAATATAACCAAAAAAAATTAGCACAATGTAACAACATTGATCCCCCCCCGTCAACGTACATAAACGCATATTCAGACATAAAAGAGCTAGAAGAACACATTCCAGTTTTTTTCGAGATACCATGATTACAAAAACTTTCAAAAATAAGCGATGATTACCTCGTCAACAGATTTGAAAGGACGGTCCCCAATAGACCGCTGCCGAGCAACTATCAGAGACTCTAATAAAGGTAGTGATGCTTTTGGAGCAAACGCACATAGAGCAACAGCTACTGGTTGCCTG